GCCATGGCTGAGCACAGAGCTGGGCTGCCTCCCCCAGCACCAGGCTGTGCCCAAGCTGGGTGCTCCAGGGGCTGGAGTACAGCAGTTCCCCCAAAAGGAGCAGTAAAAAGCAGGAAGCTGCCCCAGGTTCCCAACCCTTGGGAGCACGCTTCCTTTCTCTTTTTCCCTTCTATTTCTCCTTCTCCTTTTCCCTTTTCCCCTTTCCCCTCCTTCCTCTCTGCTTTCCTCTCTCCCCTTTCCTCCTTCCTCTTTCTTCCTTTCTCTTTCTCCTTTTCTCCATTCCCCTTTTCATTTTCTCCTTTCACCTCTTCTCTCTTCTGTAAGTGACCACAGCAGCTCTGACTGGTGAATGTAAGTTCCAGCTGTATATCTTTACGCTTGCTGCTGGTTACACAGCACGTTAAGTATCTTTCCCCATCCCATATCCTGTGATAAGTCCAAGTAAGAACAAATCACTGAAAAAGTCTCCTGCAGGAGGAGCAGAGCACTCCCACGCCCCACCAGCTAATATCTGCCATTGTACTTGTATATCCTAAACCTGTTTTGGTGTATTTTAAATGCCGTTTTGCAGTGGAAAGGGAAATTATATCTGGAATCATTTCCTCAAGCTCAAAAATATGTGAACCGGATTGGAAGGTTTGTGTTGTGTGCATTGATTAGAAGCAGGGACAAAAACATGTAGGTGTAAAAATCTGTGATTTCCTATGGAGAACAACGATTTGGTTTCTTTTCAGCTATGTCAGCTGGTTCTTAGAGATTGAAAATGTGTCTCAGAGAATGTATCTCTTCATTCTGTGCTCCATCCAAGGATGTTCCCATTCCCTGTCGGCCTTCTCTTCTACAAACGTGCCGCGCTCGCTGTGAGCTACACACGCCATTCAGAGCAGAAATCCAGCAAAGTAGGTTTTTGTGAGAGACCTTGATTGATTCTTAGTCCACATAACGTAGTGTTTGTTCGTTTTCAGATGTAATCATGGCATTTAAATTACACAGTGCTGGTGCAGCTGTGCTGCTGCCGGGCTGGGGCTGCTGGCTGCAGGATGGAGCTGCTCCCCACCATCCCCATCACAGATCGCCTGCATTGCCTCCAGGTTTTAATTCTCCAGTGCAAAAGGACACTTTGCTGGCATGGAACGGCTTAGGAGCTTTGTTTTCCCTTCTCAAGAGTATCTCAAATGCTTGTTCAGGTTGGCAGGAGGTTTTTCAGAGGGCAGATTTCAGACACTGATTGGAAGGACTCAAGAACAGCACATTCTGTATAGTAAAAATTTACTGAGTCTTTAGTGTGGGGAGTATTTTGCACTTTTTGTTGTATATTGCATTAAATGTAATAAGTTAATTTGGGAGGCAGAGATGTAAGCTGGCTGCCTAAAGAAGTTTTAAGCTCCCTCACCATCTGACCCTTTCTGTCCAGGAGTGCTGGCTGCCCTTGGCTGCTTGGCGTGCTCTTGCATTTCAGTCACATTATCCCCTTTTCCTTTTTCATTTTTTCTTTTCCTTTTTGTTTTTCTTTTTCCTTCTTATTGCATTCTGTGTCTTTTAATGAGTTGACTGTAATTCTCCCAGGTCTCCGGCCGCGGGGCGTTCAATGGCTTTTGACACAAAGAAAAAGTGTTGAGAGATTTTTCATTGGTAAATTCCTCCTCTGGGGTTTGATGTCTCACTTTCCCTATTGGAGACGCACAAGCAGCCTCAGTCACAAAGGAGGGTTTCTCCTGCCAGGGCATTTCAGCAGAATCGGTGAATAATGCAGCAGAACTGTGCAAGGACGCAATGGCAAAACCAGCACTCTTACCTCAGCAGCCTGCGGGCACCACTGGTGTTGTGATCACAGCAGGTCTGAGTGCACAAGGGAAAAGGAGAGAATGAACAGAAAGTAGTTTATGGCTTTCCTCAAAGACACTTTTCTAACTCAAAAATACAAGCCTTGTGGTTTATATGGTTTTGAAATGTAACCGCAGCTATTGAGAACTGGAAAAGATTTCATTTACCATCTTCTCCAGTTTTGGTACCAGATTCAGGGCACGGGAACTTTTTTTTGTAAAGAAAAATACTGAAAGGAAATGCATTCCTGTCTAAGTTTTTCTAATAGGGTCATATTTGGAGAAACTCTGCAACAAAGGAACCTGGGTCACCTGTGCCTTGGAGGGGCGGGTGCAGATGCGTCCTCTGCTGCCTGCAGCGAGGTGCTGTCAGCTTGCTGTGGGGAAGCTTTGCTGGCACATGGTGGTCTGCAGCTCCCTTTCTTGGAGCAGAAAGGATCACTGTCAGAACACGGGCTTTGGCTTTGAGCTTGATTTAGGATCTGAATGGGATCGGCTGTGCGGGGCACATCCCAGCCTCTCCAACCTCTCCAGCCCGGGAGCCGGGTGGGACCCGGCCAGAGCTGGCAGCTCATGGCTAGGAGCAGAGAGCTGGTCCCCCCGACTCACCACACTGTGGGGTTTTTAATGCTATTTTCTTGTCTGCTCATAAGTGACCCTCTTGCTGATAGTTGGGTATCTTTCCGATATGCGAGAGTCTGCAGAATGTGGCTTTTCTTTAAAAGGGAAGATTCTGGATGGTCGTGACTCATACCATGTAAAGGTGTTTTTCTGGCCTCCAGGATCTATCCTTGCTTTTGCTGACGCTGCTCTGTAATTGTTTAAAAATGTTTATCAAACTTTATCCTAGTAATTGCTGCTGCTTGCTCCTCTGAGTCGAGCCCAGATGTGCCTGTGGTTCAGCTGTGGCCATTTGGTTCTCAGGCGCTTTGTTCTTTCTTACCTTCTGTTTCTGCCCCTCTCCTTTTTGCACTGAGCAACATCTCCCCCCAGATTTGCTCTGGAAGCCTTATAAAGCCCCTTGCAAGGTCCTTGTTCTTTCTCCTTGGGTATCCTGCCATTAATTTCCTGCTGCTATGCTGGTTCCTCCTAAATGTGGGTGAGCAGGATCATGTCTGCTATTCTGATGGGGACTTAGTAGTGCTGTTTCTGCTCCATTGTCTCTGCCATGAATGACATGGACTTTCCCATCTACATCTTTCCTAGCCACTGCATAGCTATGGGCAGCATCCCAAGGCCCAGCATGAGCTGCACCACCTTCTGAGACCAGGCAAAAGAAGAGTGCTGCTCCATTTCCCATTTGTGTTTGGCTCTAGGAGTATCTGTTTGATGGGTGTTTTGTTGTGTTTCGCTGGCTGTGTTTCACCCTTAGGTAGTCCCAAGGTTTTGCCCAGTGAGGTAAGACACTAACTGCTCCCACATCAGCATGCCACAGTTACCAGCTGTACTTCCTCTGCTCCTTAGTCCCTGTTCTGGAGAGCCATCTCCTTCCACACTGAACAGGGAGAGCACTACCCTTCTGCCAGGCCGTGCCTGAAGATGAGTGGCTGCACTGCACCTTGAGCCCTCCTTCTACCAGGGGTTGGCCCTACTGCATCCCACTGCACCCCACTGCACCCCACTTCATCCCAGTGTGTCCCACTGCATCCTGCTGCATTGCGTGGAAGTCACCCCACTGGGTGTTTTCACTCCAGTGCTCACGGGGGGGGGAATGCTGTTTCCTCCTCACCTGTGCTCACACAGCAGCCTGCTGGCACCACACTGAGTTGTTTAAAATTGACCAGAGATGGTTTCTTTGGGAGCTGGGCAGGAGCAGCAGCACGCACACATGGGCTGAGTTTGACTGTTAGCTGCTAATGCTGTGGGGAATGAATGGGGATCCAGGTCTTTTCCCACTTTGTTATAAGAAAAGACTTCTCTTTTTCCAGACGAGAAGCAGTAGCTTGGAACTGTTTGGAGAGCTCAAGATTTCAGAGTAGAGATGAGAGAAAATGTTACGTTATGAACTGTAAATGTGGCGTTTTAAATTTGACTGCTGTGCCTCCAAGGTTGGCAGATAATGGGAAAGCCATCAGAGCCCAAGCAGCCATCAGCTCACAGCTTCGCAGGCTTTGTGAGTGCAGTGCCTGGGAGCTGAGCTGGATGAGGCTGAGCTCCTCACAGCTGGACTGACTCTTGCAACCTGAAATATGAAGTGAGCCAGCACACCGAGCAGAGCGCCCTGAGACTGCTTGCATGGGGCTGTGGAAGGCAGAAGGTGATTTAAAAGGATGTTTCCTTTTCAGCTTTTTTCTGAACATTTTTCTTTGGCGTTTCTGGAAGCAGAAGAGATGCAGTGAATGGACGAGGAACATTTTGTGACAGCTAGCTCAGATTTTTTCATGTTGCTCCCCGCAGATTTCCATTCAGAGCATTCAGAATCCAAGTTCTGTAAGGGAATGTCTACAGATTAAATAGAACCAGATATTAAAAATGTTGTTGCTTTTAAAACTGAATGCTCCTGAACATATCATTCAGAAATAACGGTGTGATGAATGGTGTGATTAGCAATGCGAGGTACTACATTACAGCTGGACACGAGTTTGCAAGTAACTAAGTGAACAGTAAAAGAATCATTGCAAATATCCTCCTTTTGAGATGGTAGATCACCTTCTCTCCGTGGGCTCAGCAGCACCCATGGGAGCGTTCCAGCTCTCCATCCTCCCACCCCATCCCGTGGCAGCCTGGAGTGGGTGAGATGAGAGCTTCAGAGCCGTTTCCTTGAAGTCTGTGTTGAGAACTCCTTTCCAGGCTGCCCAACTCTTCCAGGAGAGTTTTGAATTAATACTGAGAAGGGGGAGCAGGGGAGCACCGCTGTGGTTGTGTGATTTGGTTGTAAATGCAGCGATGGGGCCTTTCAGCCTGTGAGCCCGCGTGGGTGTTGAGTTAAAGCCATGCATGGATGATGCCTGTTATTTTGTTAGGGTCTCAGAGCGAGGGGTTTTAGCACTTTAATCCTGACTGGCAGTTGGAAGGTTGGTGGTTTCAAACACAGTGGCACGGAGTGGCTGATTTCGCTTCGGTGAAACAATGCACCAGTGTGTCTAGGCTGCCTCACAGAGCCAATAAATCTGTTTTGTTTTGTTTTTCCCCCCCTTCTCTCTCTCTCCCTCTCGCCCTTTCTTCCCCCCAATCCAGGCCAAGACCCACTGCTACTGCTGAACACCCTCCAGCTTCTCTGGACAAAGAAAGAGATGAAGAAGGTAAGGCTGTGTAGCGGCCTCCCCTCCTCGCTGCCGATGGTGGCTGCATGCAGAGCATGTCCAGGCACAGAACGTGGGTCAGCCTGCAATTCTTCATGACTGCTTTCAGTCCCAGCACACAGGGAATGAGCCTGCGCGTCTGCAGCGAGAAGCGCAAAGAAAAGGTAGCTCTGTGTGCAGCAAAGGGGCTCCTGTGAAAGAGCTGAAGTGTGCAGGGCTGAGTTGCAAGCAGAAAAAAAAAACCCTCAAAGTTGCTTTTGTTTTCTTTTTTATCCATTACACTGAGTGTCTTAGGAAGAGTGTGAAGAATGTTTTGAGAAGCCGAAAAAATGAGGGTTGAAGTCAATAGAAAAGTGCTTTTTGCCAAGTGGAATTATATCAAATCCTTTGTGTTCGAGATATTTTTACCCTTTTGTTTTGTTTGATTTGGTTTTGCCTTTTAGAGTGGTGAATGCAATTTACACTGCTTCTCTAAAATTAGTGCTATATTTTTATACAGCACCCTATGGGCTCTGGAGATTTCTCAGAAGGAGTAAAATATACTTCATCTAAATTTGGGAGCTTAAAAGCTAACAAAAACAGTAGATGTATGCCCTTCATGGTTAGTTTCCCATATCAAACTCTGTGCTGCTCAGACAGGTCCAGAGCTGAAATGTTCTTTTCTAAAGAACTCCAAAGCCAGCAGCTCACCGCAGAGCTGTGGAATGTGGGTTGTGTGAAGTGGCAGCTGTGGCTCAGCACACTGGGGTACACACTGCATCCTAGGAACCAGTGTTGGGTCACTCTTCTTGCCTGTTCCCTTCCTGTGGTTTCCAGCCTGAGTAATTGAACCACTGGAAACCCGGCATGAGATGTGCCTTTCCAAACGGCCCGTCACCGCTGTAGACTTGAGCTCAGCAACTGTGAAGCTTTGAGCTTTCTATCAAGTTTTGTTAGAGTTGCAGGAAAAAAAATATTGTTTGTTAGGTTTTGAGGGCAGCTAATCCCATAGAACAACAGTAAGAAAGAATAATCATCAAAGTCTCTGTTCTGTGTACCCTGGGATACATGTGGACTGTGAAGAAAAATACTCTGAAAAAGACAAAGCCTCCCACCGGCGTGTCCTTGGGCACAGAGCACCGCAGCTTTTCTGCTGAGGATGGAAAAGCACGAGGATCCCCATGAGCCATGCTGGCAGCTCCGTTTGCTTGCTTCTGGACCAGTCTCTCCAATAAGGTGCACGGTGGTGCAGAGCGTCCGCGCTGCAGCTTCACGGCGGGGCAGGTCTGGCCTCCCAGCGCCCACCCTGCAGTGCAGTGCTGGCTGCACAACCACAGCTCTAAGCTTGGACGCTGCATTTCTGAGCCAGGACAAGGTCGTTCTGGGAAGGTGTGGAGCGTGGTTGCTGGAGACAGGCTCAGGAGCTGCCTCAAAGGGGGGAAGAGCAGAATGGATGGCCTCAGTGGTATCCAACACGTGCCCATCACAGTGCTACCGGGATGCCCCAGTAGGTTCTCATGACATTACCAGCCTCAGCAAGGCGCCCACAGCAAGGCACTTTTTCCAAGGGCACCTGCTGCCCTGCCTCTGCATGCAGCTCAGCACACAGCGCTGCTCGTGTCCTAAGCACACCACTATCCAACATTCCAGTTAAAATAAATGAGGGAAGTTGGCTTAAGTAGAACACAGCTTGCTGCGCTGACATTTAAATGGCAGGGAGCTTCTTTGCCTTATGCTCTGTGTGGGTGTAAGTCAGTACTGGCAATTAGCTGATGTGTGAATCAGTCCTCTCTATGAGACGATGCCCATCAGTCTCAAATCAGTGAAGATCAACAGAAGGAGTGTACCTGTCCCTGGAGTGACGTCAATCCTGGGGCATGGTTAAAGAACATGACCATTTCCTACATAAAGACAGTTTTGCAGTAACAAGGATACATCAGCAGAGTGCCCTGAGCTGAGAAATAAGGGACCAAAACTGAACGAAGGACTGTGCGCTTGGAGCACCAGCAAAGTTTTCCAATTCCCATGATCTGTCAGGCTGTAGAAATCCCCCAAGGAGCATTCCCTGCCATGGGAATCCATTGAAATGGAAATGGCAATTACATGTTTGAGAGGAATCCTTCTCTGGCACAGAGAGGAGCCAGGCAGCGCAGCACTCTTTCCTCTCTGATTTAGGTGCTTTTTGGTTTTTTGTTTTTTATCTTTTCATCCCAAACCACACATACCATAGTTGAAGTCTTCAGACTGCCAAGAGGTTTGGGGGTAGGCTTTGCCCCTTTTTAAAAGTGGAGCCAATAGGAGTATGAGGCTCAGTCTGGCCGTGCTGTTAGCACTCTTGCCAGCTGTGTAGGTGTCTGGAGATGCGCTGCGTGTGAAAGCAGGCTTGTGCTCTCGCAGGACGTGGTGTCTGCTGGCGACTGTCCTGCCGAAGGCCAGGCTCAGGATGCAGCTGAAGGAGGAGCTGAGTGGTGTGGTGAAAGCTCTAGTTCGGTCTAAATGTGCTGAAGTGGAGCTTTGGGGGAAAAAAGAGGCCATCTATAAACAGCGCAGTTGAGTTGGCCGGTCGCTTTGTTTTCCTTTGGCTGTTGTGCTGGATATTTGTGGTCGGATAAGAGTTTGCCTGCTCCTTCTGCTGAATCTTGCAGCGAAGTTGGAGCCCTGTGTTTAACATTGCAAATTCTTACCACAGGGAGAAAGCTGTTATCTCAAGTCACATCTTTGTTAGTCATCGGCTTTTTCTTGCTGCATCTAATAATCTAGTGAGAAGGAAACAGTTTCTGTCGTAAACGATAGGTTTTGTGGCTTTTCCCAACATGAAAGACGCTATGGAAAATAACTGCCTTCCAGTAAATATTGTTGATGAACAAAAAAGAACAAATTCACTGGCAAATTTTCTGTAGATTTGCTGTTGCTTTTCATACCATTCTTCAGACTTTATGTTGTTTCCGTTGGAAGCTATGACTGGGGCCATCATATACAGTAAATTACAATTGCTGACTGCAGGCGGGAATGAGCATCTTTTGGGTTTTGCTTTTTAGCCAGAAAAGAAAGAGAGCAGCTGCTCGTAGTGACTTCTTGTTTTCTGTCTCTGCTTTTGCCTCGCTCCACGCCAGTACCACGCGGTGAAAGGTCCTGTGTGGGTACTGAAGGATGCCACTTCTGCACCCTGCCAACCCTCCGAGCTCCTTGGAAACTACTTCTAATGTAAACATTATAAAGATATTGCTCGGTACTGCTAATTTATCACTTCTACCAGATGGGTAGTAAGTAGCCTATTAACATTCACAAAGTGAGTGTCCAATTCCTTCACATTTCTAAGCACATCACCCTGGGATCCCTAAGATTTATGGTGCAGCATTTTCCCATGTTCCAGGCCCCTTCCTACAGCCTTTAGCTGTGCTGCAGCGTGGGTGCCTGCAGCAGTTACCTTGCTCGGGTGGCCTTGGAGCACAGGAGGACAGATTTCGTTTCTTGGGTGGCAGAGTATGACAGGATGTGAACTTGGATCTTTCTTTTCATTCCTATATGTAAAATCCAAACCATTTCAATGCTCCCACATGTTGAGGAGCTGAGTTATGCCATCGTGGCTCAAGTCAGTATAAAGTCAAACATAAAATTCGTGGCACGGGAGGAGGAGCTTATGTGCTTCATTACCTGTAGGTCTATCAGAAGATGAGTAGGTTGGTGAGCCCAATTATCTACCTTCCCTACTGCCATTTCCTAATAACGCCCCTTTCTCCTGCTCACTTCTCCCCCTCCCCCAAATCCCAAGCCCCTTTGTCTGCCCCACAGAACAACTTCTCTGTCTTTATGGGATAATTAGTGTGGACAATTGCTGCTTTTCCCATTGGGTTTGAGGTGCAGTGAGCCATGAAGGAATCTGTAATGACATGAAAAGTCACTGGAGGCGCGGATGGTGGCTGAATAGCAACAGTTACCTCTCTGAATAGATTAAATAAAAAAAAAAAAATAAAGCTTTGTGTTGAGCGGGGGGGAAGGGAGGATTCACTAATCTTTTTGTACATGACAATGTGTTTTTGTATCTCTGCAGCTCAAGGAAGAAATCAGGCGGGGCTTTGCGGGACTGGAGGACCCACTGGCAGGGCTGCTGGACATGCTGGAGAGCAGCGGTGATTGGAAGGGGAAAGGGCATTCCCTCGGGTATTGCATCAGCAGTGAGCTGCAGCTCTGGATGAAAGAGCATCCTGCTGTTCAACAGGTTAGAAAAGGAGAGAGCGAGAGACCTCGGGCAGAGGAGAAGGCAGCTGATTTTAATGTCCCTCAAATGGCCCCAGTTTCACCTCATTCCGTAGTCTTGTGTCTTCTCTGTGGCCGCATAAGCACACGGTGTGACAAGGTGTAAAACTCCTACTGAGATGTTGTGATCTGGTGATGCTGCTCAGCAAATGGAGTAACAGCAGAAGCTATGATGTGAGAGCCCTGTTTTCCCCTTCCAAGTTGGGATTCCCATCTTTCCAGATCAAACCGTTCTGATCAAGCATGGGTCTGATAGCCTTTGCTGGCTGGAGGCATTCCCACTGGAGCTCACATCACTGCTGTCAGGATAAACCCAATTGCAGCAATCTACTCTGCATATTCTTCCAGTTCTGCAAATAGAAGCCAGTTACTGTACGATTGCTTAACTCCTACCATCTGGTGGGGAGCTTTTATCATTAGGAATGCAGAAAATGGTAACAGTATGGCTTTTCAGATGAATGATTAACTTTGTAATGTTGGGTCGTCAGATTATACGTCCTAATGTTTACCATTCCTTATGCCATCGTGTATTCTGACCTCCCAAGATTTTCCCTGTTTTCTGTGCTTTTACCTTTGAACTGTGAAATGCTTTCATATCTGTTTTGTTTGACCCCTTATTTTTCCAAATGGCTCTTTTTAGACTTTCATCTCTGTTTAGATTCTCTGACAGAATTGCCATTCCAGTATTGCAAAATGCAGAGAAGTGCTACTGGCACTGAAAATCCTGTGTCAGAAGAGGATGGTCGCATAAGACCACAGGGGTTAATGCTTGTGTCTGTGCGTCTTGCTGCAGTGCTTCTGCTTTTCCTGCCCTTCTTGCACCCAGATTGAATTCCTATGCCTGATAGGTGAGATTTCCCTTGAGAGGCATTGCTGTGTGAAAGATTTTCTGCTGGGAATGGAGTGTTAGAATAGCTGTGTTAGAAAATAATAGCTGTGTTAGAAAAAGAGAGCGTTTTTCCAGTTTCATGCTTTGCTTTTGCAATTCTTGCAGAATTACCCTGCAAACATTTAATGTTTTTAAATTGGATGCTGTGAAAAAAACTGCATATCATCTTGTTCTGATTTCTGTTTGCAGACTCCATGGGGAAATTGGAGAATCCCTTCCCAAGGAATTGGCTTCTTCCCCTGTTTAAACAAGCTGAATTTTTAAGTGCCATTGAACTGTAGCCATCTTTACTAAATCTGTGTCTGATTTTTTTTTTTTTAACAGTCTGGCATGAAGCTGAAGAAGCTGCAGGCCCGTGTATTCAGAATACTAGACCAGTGCCCAGCTAATCTTCTTGACCCTCTGATTAGCATTTACCAGCTCCATACAGCAGACCGGAACTATTTGCTTGGACACGTCAGTCATCTTTATCACAGGGGCGATTACAAAGAGGTGGGTCATGTCTTTCAAATAAATTCACCTTCCCAGCTCTCTGGTGCTCTGTTAAGGTCTGTGTCTTTTTTTTGGATGCATTTCAATGTGAATTCCATTTCATCACAGCAGCTGCACGCTGTGAATGGTGCAGCTTAGCATGGTCTTCTCGTGTACATGAGTAGACTGTGCTCAACCTTAGTTTTTGTAATAGCTGAGTGCAGAATGACCGTGAGTCTTTCTCCTGGAGCTTTTCTGACCTTTGAAAGCAAGGGGTTAATAGGGTCTAATTTGGAGAATTTAAGAGGATGATTGTATTCTTTTTTGTTTTTTCTTGTCCTTGGCAGGAGAAGAAGGGATTTTAGTAGCTGGTCATAGATCTGCTATGCTATCTCCAGTCTGCTTGCAGCTACAAGGGGGTGGACAGCCTCAGCTCCCTGACTGCCCGAGCCAAAGGGCTCTCAGCTTGAGGAGATTCCGAGTGTTAATAATATCTTCTAAGTGTGTGTTATTGCTCCTGTATTTTCATTTGAGTGACTGGCAGGAGTTCAGAAAAACCAGAATTTGATGTGTTTTACCTTGTATTTTTGAGTTCTTGCTGCATCTCTGGTATCACAGTGATGTCTTGATATCCTTGGAGTGTTTTCAGGGGCAAAATACAGTACTGTTCATGATTTCTTTTTCTTTTTTTTTCGGCAAAAAAGTACAAGTTTGTTTCTTTTCACAGGGAAGTTGTTTGCTTTGACTGTGTAAAGCATCTGATCTTGCATAGAATAGAAAAGTGAAAGAGCATTTTTATGCCCTGTTCTTCAGTAAAGCCCAACTCCCTTGTGATCACGGAATTCCATCCTTGCTGGTTTTGTGAATACAGAAAGAAGGCTATTTCATATTTGATTACAAGTCTGCAGGTAGTTACTTGCAGCTTACTCTTTTGTTCAGTAACTCTTTGAACGTGAGTGTTTGAAAATCTTAACAAGAGCGTATTATTTGAGTATATTTGAGTGTGATTTTTAAACTTGTGACTTCAAAGATAGCTATTGTTTTCTTTTAGAATTGCAAATCTTTTTAGATCAGGTTTTTGGAAAGCTCTGGTTTTTTTGGTGGAATTATTTGTTCTGTTCTTTCTTCCTCAGAGAAGCTTACTTGCTAGTTATTCCAAGTGTGAAGAACAGGAAACCTCAACTGGTGATTATTCTCAGCCATAACTTTCTTCTAGTTCTGTTTTACTGCCAGAAGGATGAATAGAATTATCTTCAAGAATAACAAGAAATCTTTTGTTCTCCTTGGAGATTGATTGTACCTGATTTCACAAAATCACAGAATTGTAGGGGTTGGAAGGGATCTCCAGAGCTCATCGAGTCCAACCCCCTGCCAAAGCAGGTTCCCTACAGCAGGTCGCACAGGTCGGCACCCAGGCAGGTCTTGAACATCTCCAGAGCAGGAGACTCCACCACCTCCCTGGGCAGCCTGGTCCAGTGCTCCGTCACCTCACTGTACAGAAGTTCCATTGCACATTTGTGCAGAACTTCCTATGCTGCAGTTTCCGGCCGTTTCCCCTTGTCCTGTCTCCACTCACCACTGAAGAGTCCGGCCTCGCCATTCTGCCCCCCACACCTCAGATATTTGTAGACCTGGATCAGGTCCCCTCTCAGTAAGCAGCTTTCACAGCAGCTGTGCTGAAAGAACCTAGCTCTGAACATCTATGGCAGGCTGTGTCTTGTGTTTTCATCCTGTGCTTCCCCATCTTTCACATGGGATAGTAAAGCAGATTCAAATGCAAGTTTTCTGGCAATTGTGTGTCTCACCTGAAAGGACAGATGTTCTTATAAATCCTTACTTTCATTATTTATTTTCAGGCCCACTTGCTGTTCTACAATAAGGCACCAGACTTTTATTCTAGAACACATAATTCCGTTTACCTGTTCTGATGCATTTTGTTCTCCGTGTGCACGCTTAGAGGTCCACAGCTTTGCTCTGCTGGTTGAAGTTCCTTTCCTTCACAAAGATTTAAGGTGAAGAACCTCTTTAGAAAATGGGACCCCATTGCTGGGGGTGACACGGCAGTTATTTGGATCTGAAGCACATCTGAACCTCCCTGCACTGATTCCTATTAGTAGCAGATCGGGTCAGAAGCTGAACCAATTTGTTGAATACACCAGCCTGAAGTTTTGCAGTTGAGATGAGCAGCTCCTTGGAGCAGCCTGCTGTAGCAGTAGGCCCTGACCTTTCAGGGTGCAGCTATTGTGTGGTTCATAACAGGAAGAAAAATCATCAGCCATGTGAAGAGGCGGTACATTTGTTGGGAGGTGATGCAGGTGAGGAAACAGTTATTCCAGTGTAGCAGTGCAGAACAGCAGCTGTAGTTGGGAGGCACCTGATGGAAATGCAGGATCAGGTGAGCCGCCAGTGGATGGCACTATTGCTCCCGTGACTCCAAGAGCAAGCTGATAAGTGATAGCTGAAGTAAAAAAACGGACATAAAAGTGTGCTTTGGAGTCGTCTGGCACATTTGGGGTTTTTATCCATTCTTTTGTGAATGAGGTTTGTAGCTGCTGGAGGAAGACAGTCTGAGGCCTTGCATGGCTACCTGTGGGGAAGAGCAGGGAAGAGGGTTTCCAAGCTCGCTCCTCATGGCCTGTAGAAGATTGAAGCTCCTCTTTTAGAGGAAGATCTGGATAGATGGGTTGTGACATCCCTCCCTGGTGCCTCCGGCTGAGATGTCTCCAGCTGCAAACCCTCCTGGGCCTGCTTTGAGGCACCCTGTGTCCCTGGGACCTGGATGGCCATGAGGCACCATGTGTCTGTCGGATGGGGTGGCCATGAGGCACTGTGTGCCTGTGGGATGGGGCGCCCATGAGGCACCACATGTCTGTGGGATGGGGCGGCCATGAGGCACCGTGTGTCCATGGGATGGGGCGGCCATGAAGCACCATGTGCCTGTGGGATGAGATGCCCAGGAGGCACTGCACATCAGGCAGGACCGGGCGGCTGGCGGCACCGCAGCCTTTCATCGGCGGCTCCTCGGGCGCGTGGCCCCGGTGCCGGTGGACGGCTTTGTGGGAAGGCCGATGGCTGCTGGTGGGGCCGGGACAATGCGGGGATTCAGCAGACCGGGGGTAATGCAGTGCGAGCGAGTCTGTAAGAGGCCCTGAATAGGCCAGGCTGTGCTTGAGAAGAATGAGGGGTAGGCAGAAGGCAAGCTAGTGTTTCATGATCATCTTATGTTACACTTCAGCCTTTCAAAGAGTGTCTGGGGCTGGTTGAATGAACCTCTCTTGCACTGCGAATGCGGGAGGCTAAAGACAAAGGAGACTCTTGTCACTCGCAGGCCCCTTTCGGGAATAAAAGCCATTGTCACATGAACAGGGGCAGTCTGGCAGGCTGTGCATGCTTCAGTGCCCCATGATATCGCTAAGTCTCAGCAGAAATCACATTCAGGGCCCTGTCAGCTTTGATTAGCGGGGTCTCATGACTTAATGTGCTGCGATATTTCATGTCTAAGGGTGGCGGCTGTCTTTCTGTGGAATGAATGCCCTCTATTGTCCGCAGAGTTATTTTATTTACATTTTTTTAAACAGCTTATAAAGGTAAAAAGATAGCTGTGCTTAAAAAAAAAATCAAATTCCTTTGCTTCTGGATCAGTAGTAAGTGCTGCTCGGGTCAGATACAGTGAAACTTGTTTTCACAGTCAGCATCAAAGTTCTCATCTTGTTTAACAGCTTTATAGTAAATTCTGAACAGGTGGCAGCGGAGCTGGGTTTAGGAAGGAAACAATAAATAATCTTTTTAGCCTCTGACAAGCAGAAATATTCCTGGGCCCGAGAGCTCCCAGTCCGACTGCCCCGCGCTGTGCCTGGCCGTGCTTCTTCGCCCCGCCGTCCGTTTGTCTCTGAAACAAGAACGCAGGTCGGAGCTGTCAGTGCAGTGGGCACTATTTGCTTTTCAACAAATTGCTGTTGTCTGTTCGGATTTCTCTGTTTTCTAAAGCTGAGTGTATTTTTCTACGGATGCTTTGTCTGTTAGTTTATACAGAAAGGGGAGGTTGATTCTATACATTAAGATCCTTTAATATTTGCTATTTCAGTTAGAATAGTGTGGGTTACCCTATTGAAATTCAGTCATTACAATGTGTTGTAAAAGAAGTTAGAATAGCTGCTGAAAAGGCTTCACAGGCACAAAATACAAAGTTCCTGTCAGAGCACACTGTAATATGCAAGTTGTTTGATAGTTCAGCAGGAAGAGAATTGGACCAAAGATCATCTGAACTTGAAGGAATACAAATATGCTAAGTCTGGACAAGCATAATTCAATCAGCAGCGTGTCCTTAAGTGCTTGTCTGCAAGGATGTTTTGAACACTGTTTCAGAGATGGTGTCCTTGTAGTCCTCGTCATAGTGGTGCTGGAGTATACACTGTGTATGTGTGTAAATCTAGCAGTATAAGTCAGTGTTAAAATTCATTGGACACCTTAATGGATGTTCAGATTTTGGATTTCTTCACTCTGAACTTTTTGAGCTATTTTCAGGTCTGTGAAAATGTCTCTGATATTGCTTTGTTCTCCAGTTCCCCACCTTAATTGTTCATTTCATGTGGTATTTGTGTGCACTTTAGGATATAAAATGTGCACACTTGATCTTCTTGTTTCTTTTAAATTAAACAGTATGGTGAGGAAACCAAGGAAAATGTAACAGGAGGTATTTCTCCTGTGAAGATGATAGAGCTGGTCTCAATCTTTTCTTCCTGTCAACCTACTGTTGTGGCACATTGCCTGCAAGATGCAGAGCCACGCTCTGCTCCAGGCCTGTTCCAAACACTGCAGCTTCTGGAGCCACTGCCTGCTGCTGGCATCTTCTGCTGAGGTGCTTGGGAAGGAGCTTGTACGTTGGTGGGAAGTAATAATTCAGATGACACTGTGCTGCCTTTGCTGTGACACTGGGATCTTGGCAAGCAAAGAGAGGGCTTCTGAGAAAAGGTGTGAAAGTGCAGAAGATCTAAACGCAGAGAGTCTGGGTCTGGAGAATC